GGAAGGGAGGAATGTGTTGACAAAGGATCGATGAGTGGGTGTAATTCTTCTTTACGTTTTTAGGCTTCCTGCATGGTCACGTGAGACTAGCTTGAAGTTTACACGGCAACTGATAAAAGGTTTTTTGTCTTCTTTCTCAAGTCTGTGGTTGTTTACTTTAAACAGAGTTACGATTACAAATGTCAAAATGTACGTCACGCGCCTTCAACAACGCGGAACGTTTTCTTTCCTGTTTTCTCGGATTAAATGAATTTCGAAGTGCGTCGATAAAACTTGTGCGAATAGCTGTTCAAGCACGCCCTGTTAGCCACTCTTTCATGACGAATTAACTTTACTGATTTGGCTTTAACTTATGCATTTGAATACGGGTTTAAAAGCATAGTTAAACGAATAATCAATTTCTCACAAACCTTAAACTGATAAATTGAACCTCGCTTTCATTTCATGGGGAGCGAACAAGGATAAAGCGAAAGATGGCATTCCAGGGAAAACTCTGAATAATTAACGCTTCATTTTTCTGGCGCACTGCAGTAGCCTCAAACGCTTGCACCAAGCGAGAGTGAGTGCTGGCGAGATTAGGGTGGGTAATTGGTCAAAAATAAAAATGATACTAGCTCTAAAGTTCGCGCTGACCATCTCACTAGACAGTTAATTATCAGATGAGTTATTATGAATTGCACCTCTTAGAAAAGTTCGCATCAAATATCATGGCCGCAGCTCTCGACCACCCTGGTATTACCACACCATATCGTCCATGCTGGTCTCAAATCGCCTAATTTACATCTGGTTGCATGGAAGCAACGCAAAATAAATTTCTTTAACAAGCAAATTTGCAGTTTAGAGATTTTTTCATTTTTCAAGTTTCATACCCGGCAACCTCAAAGCTCCTATTCGATTTCTAACCACGGTACCACTGCTACCTTTCCCCCGCACCAACGCAAAAAATCTTATGCGAAATAGAAGTGGAACTATTGTGGGCCGTTCTATTAAATATATTCATATCACATGTCGTGCCGTACAGAGGTTGATGTTTATGAATGGCTGAATTAATTAGTCGGAACCCGCCAACAGCCGATTATTAAAAGTTGCTGCATGAATTGTCAGTTCAAGATAAGTGAAGAGTGTTTTTGTTCCCATTTGTGTGCATTAGTTTATGGTATGAAAATAAAGACAGAATGGGGTTGGTTGATTTTGAATCTTGGTCTCGCGAGTAGTGAAAGGGCGATTATATGCTGCCTTTCTGCTGGGAAAACCTGAGAAAATTCCAATGTGCTAGAAGTCCTTCGTCACATACGGCGTAAGCATTCATTTCCATTCAGCACGAAACGAACATGCTTTAGCCTCGAAAGATTTGTTTTTCTCACAAAGTTCGTCGAAAATTGAGTGCTGACGGGCGAAGGGCAAAAACCCTAACTGCAATGCTTATTGCCTCGTAAAAACAGGACTGGCCGACGGTACATGCAGCGCAGAGCGTATTTGAGTTATTTCTGTTAGATAAGTTCAAATAGTCCATTTTAACTCACCTTCGTCAGTGCTCAACTCATTTGGATTCTGTCTGTAGTGGTTCGACGACGACGCTCTCTTCGGTGAGGTAAGAAATTTCGGCAATTTCGAGAACCTGATTTCAAAATAGGTTGAGTGTTTATCGTTCTCTATGCAGCGATAACCTCAAGAATAATCGAGAAGCTAATATTTTCTTTGACTAGGTTAGTAAGTAAGTTTAAATGCAAGTTCATAGGGACTGTTTTTCCTGTTATGCGTTATGGTTAATGACATATTGGTTTGCTCCATATTTTAGAGGCGGAGGATTCGAATCGCGGTTTACACTTTTAATATTAAAACTGCAAATTCCATTGAGCAAGGGGTTCGTCTTACTGTGCTTTCATCCAAAAATATGTGTAGCAAATCACTGACATGTTACAAATCATGACAGCTGGCGTTCTGGTGCAGTAATGCGACATTTGGCTGCCATATTCCTGATTCCTTGTCTAGCTCAGTTAGAGATGCTGAACGAACTAATCACGGAAGCATAATTAACCAAGCCATTTTTACTACAAACGTGGAATGACATTTCGTTTCGTGAGTTCATGAAGAGCCCTCATAACCCATGCTACCTTATTATGCATTCCTTTACTTGGTTTGATTTGTAGACGCATTTATACGTGTTCATAGCTCTTGCCGTCGAGGTATAGGGAAGCAGTGGCACAGTTGGCTAGTAGGTTGTTTTGTACGTTAGACTGTCGCGCTGAAATGCAACGCGTTGCTAATTCTCTTGATCACGGAACTCACTACTCCACCTACACTTAACTGTGCTTCGATGCAACCAGTCGGATAACGGTTGCAGGTCGCTGTCCTGCAAATCATAGGGGCAGCATGATTCATTGGGGTGATCATGTCAGTGTATGCAAGACATGCGGTCGTGTTGTCTGATGCGTACCTGGAAGTTGTCATTGCCATTCGCCTTGTTCCCTCCTGATGGCTGACCAAAAATCAGCTGAAAATGGAATCGTAAATTTAAATATAACTGAGTTGGTTTCACATCTTTCGCAACGTATTTTATCGCTGTGGTAGATCATAATGATAACCAGATATCTTTGTTTTTTAGAGCAGACATTCGTAGTGCACATAAGTCAGAATTACCCTGCCTGAAGTGAACAAGGTACAAAATTTAATGTGAAGCCATCACGTTCAGGTAGAACAGACTCGCTCATCTATCATTTCTGAGTTCAAAGAGGTCCTCGCGCTGTCTAAATGGCTGAGGAAAACACGTTCCACCGCATTTCGCTGTGTCATGCTATCATATATATTCATTTTTTGCCATTTCTGCAGGAAGTGGAAGATATCTTAGATTGCAAATTAGGCTAAAGGTATCTGTAGCAATGAATTTGACGACATCGTTCGGCATGACGTTCAGAATGGTTCCAGTTATTATCCATAAACTTTTTGCTGGAGCTCTATACTGAAGTATGACCATGATATTGCGATACCTTTTCCATGACATATCCTTGCCTTAATTCACAAAATCTCAGTCTATCTTGAGCAGGTTCATTATCTGCCATCTGTTTACAATGGAGCATATTGTGTAGCGATAAAGACTGAAAATTTAATATGTCGTCGATAATAATTTTTCTTAGACCAAGTGTCCCCGTTTCTGTGGAACTGAATCCGGATTCAGCAGAGCTATGCGAATTGAACAGGACCGATTCGATGAGTACCGAACCGCCAGCTCCTGGAATTTCTTCGAGCGATATTGTGACGATCAACGTGAGTGGCCTTCGGTTCCAGACGACACTGAAGACGTTGCAGCGGTATCCGAGCACGTTGTTGGGCAACAAACTGAAACGAGCGCCTTTTTACAACGCTGATGCAAATGAGTACTTTTTCGACCGTCACCGTTTGAGCTTCGAGGCAATACTCTACTACTACCAGAGCCCAGGGCGGCTGCGGAGGCCGACTTCCATTCCGGTTGACACGTTCGTCCGTGAGTTGAAATTCTTCGAGATGGACGACGAAGCAATGCAGATCTTTTGGGAGCACGAAGGCTACTGTAAACCTCCAAAGGAACCGCTGCCCAAAAATCCGCTGCTAAGAAAGATCTGGCTGTTTATGGAATATCCGGATTCATCCTTCGCTGCGCGGTTCCTTGCTTTCTTCTCTGTGTTTGTCATCGTCGTCAGCACATTGTCCTTTTGTCTGGAGACAATTCCAGAGCTGCGTAACACGTACGTGAACGTCAGCTCAGACCCGTTGGAGGATCCGGACGAAAGAGAAGATTTTAAGAATCCGTTCTTCGTCGTCGAAATGCTATGCATTTGCTGGTTCACGGTAGAACTCTTTTTACGGTTCATCTCCAGTCCGTCGAAGCTGGATTTCTGCAAAAGTTTCATGAACATAATCGACATGGTGGCGATCCTTCCGTTTTTCATCAACATCGCCATGACGAAGAATGCTGGCTCAAGTATGTCGTTCGCGGTGCTGCGAGTGTTGCGTCTGGTGCGCGTGTTTCGGATATTTAAGCTCAGTCGTCACTCGCGAGGCTTGCAGATACTCGGAAAGACGGTGAAGGCCAGCGTCCAAGAACTGACTCTTCTGATATTCTTCTTAGGCATTGGAATCGTGTTGTTTTCGAGCGCCGTTTACTTCGTCGAATCTGGTATACCAGGCACTAAGTTCGAAAGTATCCCTGCCGCCTTCTGGTACTCCATCGTCACAATGACCACCGTTGGTTACGGAGACCTGGTGCCTATTGGACCCCTTGGCAAGTTGGTTGGGTCTCTATGCACAATAGTCGGTGTGTTGGTGCTTGCGCTTCCGGTGCCGGTCATTGTGGCAAACTTCAAGCACTTCTACAGACAAGAAACAAGGCTGTCGTACATGAATACTCTGGGTGGAGAACCTTTGGAAGAAACGTTTTTGATTGACGACAAAAGTCAGTCCACGGACTCCTAAATGCTATGCAAATTGGTGAATTGTTGAGTTTCTGACGTTTCAAACGGTTACCTGCTTTACCTGTGATTCTGCTATTTTTTTTCTTGCTGAAGTAACATTTATAGTTGTCATTTCTTTATACTTGCGTAGCCGAAGTTTCGCCCTTATTAAGCGCGAAATACGTACGTAGTCATAAAAAGATTAAAACAAAAAATTATAAAAT